TGGAAGCCCAGATGGGCTCAGAGAAGAGTTGGATCTGGCAAGTGCTGCCTCTGAGCTGGGGCAGCCCCCAGCCTGGTAGCTACCTGCCCAGGCAGCCCTGGGAGGTGCTGCTGCTGCAGAGGGAAGGACCAGGGACCCCTGTGGCTCAGGGGCCGCTCAGCCCGCCAGCAGCTAGCACACGCAGGCTCGGCCAGAAAAAAAAAAAAAGCAGCAGCAAGGGGCCTGATTTTATTTTTATTTCTTTATTTATTTTTTCTGTGGGAAAAAAATAAATAAATATATATTCTGAGCTGCCAGCAGACCCTGAGCTGCAGGGGTCCCTGGTCCTTCCCTCTGCAGTGGCAATGCCCCCCAAGGCTGTCTGGGTGGGCTGCTAGCGGACCAGGGGCTGCCCCAGCTCAGAGGTAGCACCTAGCCCAATCCAACTGTTCCCCAAACCCAAGCTTGGGCAGCCCTTGTCCCACTAGCAGCCCACCTGGGCAGTCTCAAGGGGCACTGTTGCTACAGAGGGAAGGACCAAGGGCTCCCGCAGCTCAGGGGCCATTTAGCTCACTGGCAGCTCACTGCCTCCCACCTCCCCCGGCCACGGTGGGGCGGGGTGAGGGATCGGGCCTCTCTCCACTTCTGCCTTCAGCCCGCCTCAAAATGTAATTTTGCTCTTAATGGAATTTTGACAGTATATTTGTCATGTCCTGCAAATGGTTTGGAAACAGAACTAGAACTCAAGGAAGTAATACAAGGGTGCCCAGCCTCTGGTCCATAGGCCAAATGCGGCTTGCAGAATCTTGGAAAATCTGGCCCACGGGGCTCCCTGTGGGTCAGGAAATTTGGCGGCGGCAGAGCAGTGGCCATTAATACAGCCACCCTCCCCATACCACCAAATTTCCCAAACCCCAAGCCCTGCATGACTGGTCAGAGCCAGGCTGCGCCCCCACCCTCTTCCCCCCCTGTGGGGCCAAGTTGGGGCCATACTGTGCACCCCCTCCCCTTCCCTGCAGGGCCAAACCACACTCCCTTTTCTTTGCAGGGTGGGTTGGGGCTGGGATGCCCTCCCTCGCACTCTCTGCATGGCTGGATGGTGCCCACCGTACCTTCCCTGGGCACCCCACCGGGACCACCAGCTGGATCTGACCAGCGGACAAACTGCACTGTCCATCCAGTCTGCTGGGGGGTGGGAATTGAGCACCACTGCTGTAATATGACACATAGTGAGAAATTTTACATCTCATGTAATTCCCCAACATGGCTACAGGAAAGGGTTTTATAAGAAAGGGGTGAAGAAAGCAAGGCAATGAGAGGATCTTCTGGAGTATGAGTTCAGGAGAGCTCTGGTGGTGGAGGTAAAAGTAGAATGAAACCATTTGCCACATGGTGGACATCCATGTGACACTATCATTGGTAAATACTGAGCTCCATATACATTGAGCAGGGCAGCCAATTTACAGCAAATAGTATTAGTTGAATTCAGTTTCTTTTTTTCTGTGCATGTATAATTTTCAGTAATTAGTTAATCTTTTTCATTTATTCAGATATTCTGTGCAGACATATATCATTGCCTTGATAGCTTGCAGACAGACAGTTGGCAGCAAGTGTTGGACTGTTAGAATTAGAACTGTGTTTCTGTTTCTTGGTTGGATGAATGAAAAATCTTAGAATAAGGTCTCTGGTATGAACACTTGGTTACAAAATCAAAGTTTGCTCTGCATGATATTTGGTAATGCTAGCTTAATTTGCTCAGCTTTTTTCTAAACAATCATGGTAGTCATCTTGCTTGCTTGACTATATGCAGAAAATGAACATGAAAGGACCCAGACACATGTAGTTGAAATTTGTTTAAAATTTTGAATGAACCCCTGTGAAGAAGTTTACTGGATATTATTCTGTCGATTTGGTAATTTTCTGGACTCATCTTGGAGAATTAATAGGATATCGCTTTTAGAAAATGGGATTTCAATCCACTAAAACACAAGCCTGCTGTTACGCAAATAATTTTAATTTTGAGCTGTCCTAGATGCTTTGAAGTGGCCAGGGTTTCTTGGTGTTTTGAAAAAATTGGTTTTCGATGTGCAACCGCCTCTATTCACTCTTAATGTCTCTTTCGTAATTCAAATAGGAAAAATACTAGGAATGCAAAAACCATTTGTTACCTTACTGGCCCTGATGATTTTCCATAAGGAAAATAAACAAGCCAACTATTGCACGGCCCATGGAGGGGCGGGGATGAAGCAGGTGCTTGTGACTTAACAGAGTGGATTTCAGGCTGTGGTATTAGAGCCAAATGCTTTGTATGGAAGGCCTCTGCCAGATGATTTGTTCTGTTTTTATAAACCAGCATCTTTGCTGCCATAAGTTGCAAAATGTCAGGTTTTGCAGTTAGAATTGTTTAGTGCCAGTTGATATGTGTAAAAGAAAAAAAAATGACCTTGTTATGTAGTATTTGTGTGTGTTATGCAGCAGTAAAAGATTAAGATTTCCATATTAAGTCCCTTCCAGTAGCTTCTATCTCCAGTGGGGGGAAGGATTTGAGCGTAGATTTGGGAAGCAGGAATTAGAGTTCTAATTCAGAGGAAGACACTGCCTCCCTTTAGACAGGTCTTAAACCCAAGTTATTTCTACCAGCTTAAAAGGAACTTTCTGCCTACTGCTAAGCTTAACAAAGGAGACAGCACCTTTACTGCTGCCTAATGCTTTGAAAACAAAGAAGAGCTGTACAAGTAATCTTGATGAGACTTTTCTAAATGACCAGTCCCAGAAGTCCAGCTGGATTTTTCTTCTGCTATTACATCCTTACTGGTAATCCTGATTGCACAATCTTTAGTTTGTTGGCAGTTCTGTCAAAGTCACCCTACAGCTGTGGTTTTTGACCTTTTTCCATTTACAGATCCCTGGAAATTTCAAATGGAGTTGTGGACCCCTCTGAATTGTGAGTGTGGGTAGTCGCATACTTTTGATTGATCATAGTCATCTTTTGTAGACCCCTTAGACATAGTCTGCAGACCTCCAGAGGTCTGTAGACCACAGGTTGAAAACCACTGCTCTACAGGGCTAATAGAAGTTAGAGGATTGTCCTTTGGCAGTGACAAATGAATGACAAACATACATGGGCCATCTTTTTCCCATAGCACCTCCCTAAAATAAGGGTTTTTTGAGGTTTCTTAAGCAGTAGATTCTTTGTTACATGCAAACAAAGACTGTGTTATCCTTGTGTGAAAAGTGAAATCGCCTGCCCTTCTCACTTACTTGCCTTTGGAAGTTCCAAAATGCCTTTATTTCATTATCTCTTGGCCAGTCACACTTTGAAGGCTGTTTCAACTTCAGCAGTGAAGAAAGCATCCAGGAGCTAGGAACCTTTTTTTTAAACCACAAAGAATCAAAACTTTTTGGTCAACATTTCAAGGGACATTTTCGTCTCTTGCTTTTAAGCTGTGCTGAATTCCAGCCTATGCCAAGTACTGAAGGTTGAAACATGTTTAACTGCTAAGCTCTCCTCCAGGCTTTTGGCACCCTTGCTGAAAAAGCAGGTGGTCTGAAGTGATGGTTCCCTTTAGGTTCTCACACGCTGCACACAACACATAGACGTGAAAGACAACTGTCAGTTCCTTCCTTCCCTTGTTCCATTCCTTTGCGCCACCCCCATCCTCTCCCCCCCCCCCCGCCAAGAAAAAAATCCCTGTTCCCCCGCCCCCCCCCCCCCCCCCCCCCCCAGGCAAGAAAAAAAAGTCAGGACACAGATGGATGTGTTGGAAACCTGTCAACATTTTTATAAAGGGCATGCTAGAACATAGTCACAACTCATTAGTAAGCTAATCAAATGAGACAGGCATCAGTTTCAGGAGCAGAAAGTGGTCAGTATGTTTTTGAGGGGGGGATAATTTAGATTGTGTCATCTCATGTTGCTCATTTTGAGTTGCAAATGTATGAATGAACTACATGCTGGTGTCACCAGCAGATCAACAATAAGCATCCATGCTCTCTGGTTAACATGATGATTTTAGGAGTCCTTTGTTAAAGCAGCCACACTTGGGTCTAGTCTTTACTGCACAAAAATGTGTTTTAAATCAATATGGTTTTCATAAAAATAATGCATGGATCATTTTTACCTTGATGTAACCCAGGAGCCTATTGCTTGAGGAGCAATTTTAATCTGGCCCACAAAGGCCAGAGATCAGTGGTGATTCAGCTGGAAGCTTCTGCAGTGGCGGCCGAAATTCGCACACATCGTGGCTGGACAGCAGTGAGGTGTTAGTGTTTGGGTCAGAAGTGCAGGCCTGCTGCTCCTAAAGGTTGCTGACCCCTGATGTAGTCAGTTTTATGATCATCCTTGTAGTCTCCCCACTTGGGGTTGACAAAACCCAGAAACAAGAGCTTTAAAAATGTCTCCTTTACTCATCTGTGAAAACCCAAGCTCTTTCTTTCCAGCAGCAGCTGATGGCATCAGAGGCACTACAGCAGTATAAACGATGCCACCTGTCTCACATTGGGTGGGGTAATGCTCCAGAGCTAAACATGTGACTTCAAGTTTTAACAAGGTTAGGCGCAAAAGTTACTCATTTTCAGCTGCTGTTTTTCTTTTCTTTTTTACTGCGAGCCCTATTTCCCAAAGCAGCTCAGTGCCTTCAGAGCATGAAATTGATTGAGTTTCAGTGGGTGTGCGCTTCTGAAAATGCCAGGCAAAATTCTTTCATTTGAAAAAGCCAACCAACTAGAAAACATGACTGGTCCAGATTGTATTGCATCAAATCCCAGTGTCCTCCATCCGAATAGAGCATCCTTTGAATGTCAAAGGCAATGCCTTCATTGAAACGTATTAATATATTATGGTCTGTTTCTTATGATACAGGCAGGATGTAGCATCTGAGAACCTTCCAGCACAGTCCCATGCCATTTGTCTCTTCTCACCCTCCACGGATGATATATGCTATGTTCAGTGGAATGTTTAGATTAGGAAGGGTTTTCTTTGAATTTCATGGAGCCTTAAAGACTTTTTTCTCTCCCAACAGTTGCTAACGAGAAGAGGTTGCCAGTGATGCCTGGATCCCCTGTGGAAGTGAAGATACAGTCAAGATCCTCTCCTCCCAGCATGCCGCCTCTGCCACCCGTGAACCCAGGAGGCCCTCGGCCAGTGTCCTTCACCCCTACAGCATGTAAGAGCTTTGTGATGTTAGCTGTCTGGTGTTGGGAAACTGCTTTTCCCTTAGGATGTTCAGCAGGACTCTTAATCTCAGCAAAATGAACACGTAGTTTGTGAAAGTCACTGCTAGTATTTCAGTTGTTTTCCAGAGCTAATGTACAGTGTTGAGAATTGGCAAGGCACTAGAGAGGCAGTGACTAGGAGGGAAATTTCTGTTGTGTGACTAGGTAGATTACCCACTCCTTCCGTCTGCCAGTGCAGAATTGTTCCCTGCGGCACATTGGCTTAAATGTAGAAGTGCTTTGTCCAAGTGAAACTGAAATAAGCAGAGAACTAGGGCTCATTTGTCCACCCTGAATCTCCTCTTTCCATCTTTACTGTTTATACTTTTCTCTCAAATGTAGAGTAATTTTCATGATCCTTCCCAGCCATAATTTCAGTCCTTTCACATCCCTGTTCTGTTCAGTTGTTCTTCACTATCCTTCCAGTTTTTCTATCTTTTTCCTACAGCAGTGCCTACTGTTTCAGATGCAATAGCACCAGCAAAATATAGACAGTACTTTCTCCTTGTTACCTCATTTATGGAGCTTCAGAAAACTATGGCTTTTTCCCTTATGTTGCAAACTCCTATCCAGTTTACCATTCACCATCTCTCCAGGGCCTTTTTTCAGCATCATGACTTTCCAGTTCTCTTCCTTCCGTTCAGTAGCTATGTTAAGAATTACGCTTCCCCAGATGCACTTGTGATTACATTCTTTTCTGCCCATGCATCTCATCTCTCCAGGCAACTTTGTAAGATGTCGCTGTTCTAACAGATGCCTACATCCCCCTCACAATTCAGTGTCATCTCTGAATTTCACAGATTAACATTTTAATCTTCATTTTGGAGCATTTAATGAAATATTCAGCAACAGTGGCCTTAAGATTGGGCCCAGGGCTAGCCCTCCACATACTTCTCCCTGATCTCAATATGTTGATTTTTTTTTTTTAATGCCCCCATTGTGTGTAAGGGCTTTCAGTCCTACCTAGACCAATATATATGAATGTCTTGAGAGAGGCTGTGACACACTGTATCAAATGCTTTATTAAAATCCAAGTAGGTTGCATCTTCAGCATAAATTACCTTTGATTTTAAGAGAACTGTGCTGAAGTAGGTGTGGCAAAGTTTAATTCATTTAAAATCAGGGCCCCTTTGTGACTGATATTGTACAAGGTACAGATAGATGTAATTGTATTGCTACTGCAGAATACTGATATGAACTATTACCCAGCAGTTGTAATGCCTGCATGATTTTGCAGTGATACAAGTATAGCAAAATTAACCCTGCAAGGTCAAAGTTAAGGTAATTTCACTGTTTTATATTGCTGCAGGATCATGCAAACACACGTTAGATCATAACAGCTGATGCATGCTCCTGGGGAGGTGCTCCCCCTCCTCTTTTTAAAGGGGCTAAAAAGTATGTTTGTCTGTACCTACAGGCACACAGCACCCTGTCCTAAAGTGCTTACAATCAAAAGAGGATAGACAGTTGTGCAGAAAAACCTTGCGTGATGGTAGACAGCAGGGCAGTGACAGGTAGGGAAAATAAACTTGGATCTCTTGACACCTAGTCCAGCAGCTAGTTGGTAGACCCTGCTGTTTCCCTTTTAAATCCCTTATGACAGGTTTAACTTCTATAGAATGCAGATCACCTTATCTGGTTTCTTTGATTGTGTTCAGAATATAGAATTTTTCCTTTATAGAACAAAAAGTACTTTATTTATAAATGCTTAGGGGCTTCCTTATGCATAATAAGGAAAAATGCACAGAATCACAAGTGCATTTTTCGCTTTCCTTTGCAGGTCACCTTTAAAACAGAAGCCCTGTATGTTGTCACTAATCCAGTCCCCTCTCTCTTTTTATAAACGGATACCTTATCTCTAGAATTTCAACCATCCCATCTCCTCCTCCCCACACCCATAAAGCCCTTTCACCACTCTGGTTAGCCTGAACCAGCTCTGCTGTTTTCTGCCCTTATCTTTCCTTTGAATATATAACAGACTCTGATTATCTGTGCTTGTTTTCCCCCTCTCCACTGCTGCTACAGGTGCATGGAGCTTTTATAACCTCAGATCTCTGAACAGCTTTTGAGCAGTTTAACTCCTCTGAGCCCTCCCTTCCCATCCTTTGAAAAGGTTCCATTAATGTAGTCTTTTAAAAGATGTCAGGATTCTGTTACTATCACTAATCTGCCATTGTTTGTAAACTTTGAGTTGCACAAACCATTTTTACCTCCTGTTTTTCTCTTTACCATTTGGTAAATGTTATTCAGTTCCCATGCAAATGAAGTGTTCGCAAACATTTTTCTTGAATGGCTATCTCCATTTAGTCATCTTTTCCTGCTCAGTATCTGCTCATCAGCATGCTAGGCAGTAGCACCACTCTGGGAATCTTGTCTGCATGTCTCCTCCAAACAGTATCCTTTAAAAATACAGTAATCAAGTATTTTTATACTGCTTAGAGACTAAACCTTCGTTAAATATGTGGCCAATGTTCTTTCTAACTGCAGTACATATCTGTGTGCACAAGAAATCTGGGATTGACTAAAACTTTTTATAACCTAACGTACTTCTCCCCCGCCTCAAAATCATTTGGGCCTAAATCATTCTTGTCTGTTATCAGAGCTTCCTGGATGAGACCCAAGATTGCACAGTTGCTGTACTGGTATTTTTAATCACTTCCCGTATTGAGTTCCTAAATTTTGGTCACTGTAGTCTCATTTAAGCAAAAGGATTTTGAACTAGACAGCCAATGTTGTTGACATTAGCAAAACTAATCCCCTGGGAAGTCTGTGGGAATGGCCTGGTTCTGATTCTGCAGTGGGGTGTTTTTTTACCCAGCTGTTTACAGTTGTCTAAAGTTATACCTAATGCAGGGATCAGCACTCTTTTTGGGCAGCGCCAAAAACATCTGTAACTTTGACTGTACAATGTTGGCGTACCAGGGGCGCCGCAAGTGTCCTGACCCTTGTCCCCAGCCCCTTTCCTGTCATCTGCCTCTATGTACGCGTGCACCCGCCACCAGCAACAAGCTGGGCTGGGGCTCCACAGACCCCAATGCAGGCACTTGCAGCCTCCCAGCTGCCTGCCACAGCTGACCCGGGCTCTAAGCAGGCCACTGTTGTCCTCCACAGAGCCTAGGATCCTCAGCCATGGAGACCATGTGCAGCCAGAATTGAGAATCCCTGCACTTGAGGGGGCTCTTGGTCCCGGCTGCACTCCGCGTGTGGGGTGGAGCCAGGACTGAGAGTGCCCTCAGGTGCAGGGATTCTTGATCCCGGCTACATATGGCACGTCCACAACTGGGCATCTCCCAGCCACAAGGGTGCATGGAGCACCGTGCAGCATAGAGATTGCAACTGCTGCAATCTCCCAGCCACTGCCTGAAGTGCCCCTGTACTCCTGTGCCTGGTAGACCGCATTGGCTGCAATTTCCCAGCTCTGGGTGTGCATTGTGCTCCCCCATGGCTGGGAGACTGCATCAGCTGCATTGTCAAGCAATAACTTTATACTTAATTGGACTTTTTTAAGGTGCAGTAGTTAATTTGCACTGTAGCCTGTCTAAATTTATTGTGCAATTAACCAGGTAATTGCGGAATAGATAGAACTGTAGAGGGGGGCTAATATACATATTAACCCTACCCTACCCCACCTCTTCTAAGAGCTAGCCCAATTAGTGGAGCAGCAGACATCTATTTAGAAAGATTTTCTTTTAAATCTTATGTTTAGCAATGATTTAACATCTTTAGAATCTAAGCAAGTTCTTACCTGTTCTCGTAGTTCAGTGGTTCTCAGCCAGGGTGTTACGAGACCCTTTCAGGGGTGCTGCAGGGTGCCACGCAATGCTAGCACTGTTAGATGTTCAAACATGATTCATAAAACAGACCTGGAGACTTCAAATAGGAATCCTTGTGTTAAAAACATTCTGCTTTTGATGTAGTATTTCTCAGTTCTTTGCAACAAAGAATTTCTCTATTTTTCTGTAGTCAAAAACTGAGTGAAAAGTAAGAGCGGGCATTTCAAAAGGTGCCTCAAGTCTAGAAAGGTTGAGAACCACTATCTTAGTTTCAGTAAGATTTAGATGACAAAAACATTTTAAAAAAGACTGACCAGTGTACATTTAAAATCCTCTACAGCTGGTCTGGTCTGCAGAATGCTACAGCTAATCTGCAAGAGGCTGAGCATGTGAAGTTCTATATCCAAGTAGTACAGTCCAAGCTAGTCTGCTTTTAAACAAAAAAGGAAAAAAAATGCACGTATGTGCCATTCAGCAAATCTGTATTTGTATCTTCTTTGAGTTTACCAGCAGGAAACTCTGTGTTTTCATCATGACTCAGAGAAATGGATATAGGATTTGAGGAAACAGACCCAATATTGCCTTTTGAGTATTGTATGCCGTCCTCTGTTCAGCGTTCACAAATTGGCATGACATTGCTGTGTGAGGTTCCAGTGTTCCAAGGATTTCAAGGTTGTGTTTAAGCCTGCCTTTCTTTAATGTTAATATATTTGTGCGTAGTCTCTAAGGCAGGGGCGGACAAAATATAGCCTGTATGCTGGCTACAGCCTGACAAAAGATTTTATCTGGCCCATGAGTGGATGGCTGCCAACTCATTCGATCTGGCCTTCAAGCTGCTGGCAACTCTGCCTGCTGTATGGTGCCCAGTGGACGAGACTGCTTCCACCCAGCAGCATCAGCCCTTGAGGCAGCAGCATCAACTGTGGACTTGGGCAGGGCTTTTGCCACAGCGGACAGGTGGCAGCATCAGCTGTGGACACCACCAGCAGGTGCAGAAGCCCCAGCAGAACCTGCCGGTGGCATGCATAGCTGATGCTGCCCCCCTACTAACTTAGTGGAAGCTCCCACCTAGAGCCCCAACCTGGAACCTGCTGGCAGTGTCAACTGTGGACCCAGGCAGGAGCTGCTACCATGCTGGGCAGGTAGCAGCGTCGGCTGTGACACTGACAGCAGATTCTGCATCAGAGCTCCAGAACGTGCTGGCTAAATAAGTAGCTGATGCCACCACCTGCCTGCCATGATGGAAGTTCCCATCTGGGTCAACAACTAAGTGTCAGGCCTTCTGGTGAATGACAGCTCCAGCCAGGTTGTAGAGGGAGGGAGAGAGAAGAGGGGAGAGGAAGAGACAGGGAGGGAGGGGAGAGGGAGACAGGGGGAGAGAGAGAGAGATGGATATGGCCCTCAACAGGTCCCCAAAACTCATTAAGTGGCCCTCCAGCTTAAATAATTGCCCACCCCTGCTCAGAGATGTAAACAAGACCTACTTCTTCCCTAAGTTGAAAGCCTGGCATGAGTGTTTTGATACACAATGTGATGGCAGTAATCATTAATGCAAACATCTTGGTTTGGCTATGCATTGCAGTGCCTAATGGTATTAACCATTCACCCCCAACACTCAATGGGGCACCATCTCCGCCCCAGAGGTTCAGCAACGCTCCTGCCTCCTCCTCCTCCTCCTCACTGACCAATCAGCAACTTCCAGCTACCTGTGGGGCCCGGCAACTCAGCAAACTAAAGCGCTTCCTTACCACCCTTCAGCAGTTCGGCAATGACATTTCCCCAGAGATTGGGGAGAAGGTGCGGACGCTTGTCCTAGCATTGGTGGTAAGTACTTTTAAAAACAAAAAACCCCCTGGAACTCAGAAATTTGTTCAAACACAAAACCGCTTTATGGCAGTAGGGGCCCCTGTTGCTTGTGCCAAAGCTTTGTTAATGCCTGGAACGTGGCAGCCAGTGTGCATGTCTGTTGCACAATGCTATTTATGTGGTTTTGGTTTTATGGGAATGCTATTTACCAAGCAAGTCTAAACTCTTTCTAATGTTTACCTTCTCTGGTAACTTCTTTGTTTTCCATGATCTTTGGCTGGCTTCAGTAAGCTATTTGACTGTCATCTGCTTTGCCTTCAGCTACTAGCTGGGCACCACTAAATTTAATGAAATCCAAAAGAGTTTGGACTAAATTCTATCATGTGGCTCTCAGATCTTCTATGATTGTGGGGTGGGGGGAAGGCGGTTCTAAGCAAAGGGTACACAGAACACATACTGCAAGCTTCAAACTTCTCCTTTGTGCACCTGAGAAATACACTCTTATTTGTTAGGCAAAAAGTGACCTCTTCATGTCTTGTAACTAACTAGGGCATGGACAATTCATGATTTCCTGAGTGTGCCTGTTGATAGATTTAGCTCTTATCTACTTCCAAGTAAGGTACAGAGAAGGGCACCAAGGATTATTAGCGGTATGCAGGGGCTTCCATATGAGGAAAGATTAAAGAGGCTAGGCCTATTTCGTTTAGAAAAGAGATGCTTGAGGGGAGACATAATAAGTATTTACAAAATACTAAATGGTGCAGACAAAGTAAGTGCAGATTTATTATTTACACTCTCCCTCAATGTAAGAACTAAGGTTCACAAGACGAAACTGGTAGGTAGTAAGTTTAAAACTAACAAAAGTAAGTTTTTTCACATTGCGTGCCATTATTTACAACTGTCTAGTACAAGGTTTTTCAACCTTTTAAGATCGGTGTACCCCCAGCGGCTGGATATGCGGGGAGGTTGGTGGGGGGGCAGGGGGCAGGTGCCTGTGTGGGATGGTGTGTGGCGGCGTTCTGTCTCCATCTGCCCATGTGTACCCCCTAGAGCCTTTTCAAGTACTTCCCTGACAACCTATGGTCCAGTTGGTCTAAGAAAAGATATCGCCTCTACCACACTGACTGCTTTTACTTTTAGACCAACATGGCTGCAGCCTTTATCATTAAAGTATGGAACTCATTGCCACAGGCTTTTGTGGAAGCTGACACTTAGCCAGATTCAAAAATGGATTGGGCAGATTCTTGGAGGAAAGGGGCATCAGTAGCTATTGAGCATGGAAGTTGGGGATACAACCTCTGAATTAGAACCTCCTAGAGCTTAAGTGCTGAAGGCTACAAGTGAGCGAGAAACAGTGTGGGGGGAGAGGAAAAACCCTGATTGTACCCAGTTCAATCTCCCCTTTAGCATCAACACCCTGCCACTGTGTGGCACAGGATACTGAGAAAGATGGACCTAGGGTCTGACCCTGTAAATGGCAATTCTTATGTTCTTATGAAAAAATGCCAATTTTGCACACTATTTACTAAATACCGTTATTGAAACCTCAGGGTCATCAAACTTAAAAATTCCTTGCTGTGGGAGGCAACATGGTCTAAAGGCTGCAGTGGTGAATGAGGTATCGGGAACTTGCAAATGGAAATCCTGCCTTTGCCAATGACTTGCTGTGTAGCCTATGGAAAATTTGCGACTGTTTCCCTACCTCACAGGGCTGTTGATAGGATAGGTTGATGGTTTTTTGCAATGGTACTGTACATAAGTGCTAGGCCTTATACATACAGGCCACCATGGTATTTCTGGGAGCTCTGCAGCATGTGGTTGAATGTATATACTTCTAAAAGCAAAAGAAGAGTCTCTTCTGAGTTCTTGGGGATCTCTGGCTACAATCTGGCTGCACAAAAAGTTTCTTCAAAGTCACTGATTCATATAACGTCAGAAGAAATTTGATTGCAAGTGTTCAGTGAATACAGTCCATCATAACACTTGCTACTTTTTAGAAGATGAAGCAGTGCAAATCACGTGTGCTATGGCTGTTTTCCCTGAGTGGCAGAACATTGCTGCCTCATATATTTTAATCCAGAAACACCAGCAAAGAAATCTGAAGTAGTTCCAAGATGCCTTAAGTGTTGAATATCAGCTATAGTATCTGAAGGCATATATTTTTGGTGTCCTACCTTTTGCATCTGGGTTCACATATATGCTTACATTATAACAAATTGTGCAAACGCTTTCAGTGGTCTGAACATCTTGGTTGTTCAGAAATGCAAGTTCAAAACTTATGATGCTGGGGCACAGGCAAGGGTTTGATAGAGACAAATCCCAACATGCACCCAGGTGTTTGTGCAGGAGCAAAAACCAACTTCAGTGCAGACTTGTGTTACCTCTAAAACCACACAGGTGTTTGTTCACATGTAATTTTGCACATACGGAGACCAGGTAAAATCCAACTGAAATATGACTCTGGAAGATGGAGAAATAGATTTTATTCCAGAATTCTGTTATATCTGGTGAAATGCTGTCCAATTAGACTTTCCAATTGCTTTTTAAATGCCAGATATTGAACTGGACTGTGATGGTTCCATAGAATAGAAAAACAGCTGCCAGGAGGTGATAACTGCCACCACCTAAAATACAGTAGAGTGTGTTTCACCATTTGAGGAAATTTTCCAGAATTTATTTCTATGACAGTCAAGTGATAGATCATTTACAGGGTAAGCTGCTGCTGGCTATTGCGGCTAGTCAATATTATTACTGTAGTGTCCAAGAACCAACTAAAAAAGGGGACCCAGTATGCTGAATACTGAATGAATAGAGTGGCAGACAGTTCTGCTGCCTGGGCTGTGCAGTCTAAATAGACAAAATGGAGTAGGGGCAAGTGTATAACACACTGACAGAACACTGCGATGCCAGCAAATGTCATGGCAAGGCTGTGGGGCATGGATTTAGTTAGAGGCGGCTGGCTAAGTAGGTATGAAAGGGTTGAAGAAGATGAGGTGGTGGAGGAGAGGATAGGAGACAGGTGTGGGGTGAAGCTGAAGTGAGGGACCATGAGAGAGGGAAGGGTTTTAAGTAAGCAGTCAGCACAGGGTAGAGGGTGTCCATTCAGTCCTGAAAGATTTCCAAATACTCAAAGGTTCCTGTCTTGGCAGCTTCTGCAGCTGTTTAGACCAGCTGGAGTCTGGCTGGCTCCTTCCTGCAGTTTTACCTCAAGCCAGCTGGTGAGGGAGGGGAGGGGTTAAAAGAAACCCCTTGGGTGCTAATGCCTTCAGGATGCAGAGGGTCTCTCATGCTCAGTCATGAATCTGGAGAAGTGCTGAAGGGAGGGGATGCCCCTGGTCTGTATTTTCCCTTTCCTTCCAGTGCAGCAGTCCCTGTTTTGGTGGCTGCTGCTTCTTTCTACTAGAATGTCTGGCTCTGAATGGCAGGATTTGATGCAATTCTTTTATTGATCCTGAAGTGGTTGATGCAAAATCTAACTTCAGATTTCTTTGCTTTCCTTTCACACACTGAATTTTGTTAAGGACTAAACTAGGAAATAAATAGATTTTACTTTTATTTCTCTTGACAGAACTCAACAGTGACAATTGAAGAATTTCACTGCAAGCTCCAAGAAGCCACCAACTTCCCTCTACGTCCCTTTGTGATTCCATTTCTGAAGGTGATGGCTTCGTATAATGTTGGGCAGCATGTATCTGCTGGGAGCCAATAAACAGAAAGCTCTGCTTTCAAGTGGTAGAACAATTGCACTTAAAGTCTAAGGAAGACCGTCTAGAAGGGGTGGGCAATTATTTGGGCCTGAGGGCCATATAGGGAGTTTTTGGTGAGCTGTCATGGGTCAGGTCAGCACCCCCCCCCCCCCAACACCCCCATTGCACAGCAACTCACTAAAACTCCGAATGGGGCTTTGGGTGAGTGGTGAGCAGTGTTTGAGGATGGGTGAGGTGGGGATCATGGGGCCAGGTCGCAGGGCAGTCACAGCTCAAGGCTTTGGGATGTGTGGGGGGAGGGGTGCGGTGCAGGGGGGGGGCATGGGGGTGGGGGGCTGCCTGGGTGCTAGATTCCAGGAGCCAACCAGAGGTGGGGGAAGGTAGGGAGCATGTGTAGCAGAGCTTGCCCAAATGGTGTGGTCTGTGGCTGCCCCAACAGCACTCTGCAGCAGGCCAGGCCCCACCCACTCCCCTCTAAGGCAGCTTCCATTAGCCCAGCCCCAGCCAGAGTACAGCTTCTAGTGGGGCTGTTTTCAGTGGGGCTGCAGCTGGACAGGTGCTGCTTTGCTCCCTTCAGTGACTCCTCCTGCCCCTGCCACACCACTCCATTGGGGGGGAGGAGCTGGAGAGACTGTTCTGCTCGCCTTGACTCTATCTGTAGCTCCTCTTTCTGCTTATGCCCCTGTTGCACCACTCCATGTGGGCGGAAGGGGGAAGCTTCAGCCAGGCGGCTCCTGCCCCAGTGGATGGTCTCCAGCTGTTGGCTGCTTTTCACCTGTTCCACCTGCCTGTAGGTGGCTGGTCATTGCGCGGAGCAGGTGGAAGGCAGCTGGAGCCAGAGCCCCACATGCTGAGGCAGGAGCCATATAGCTGTCTCCCTCCCCACCCCACCCCTCCCCCCAAGTGGCACAGCAGGAGGAGGAGCCACAGCTGGAGGTGAGGGAAGCACAGCAACCACTGGCTGGCTGCAGCCACACCAGGAACAGTGCCCCCAGAAGCTGCGCACACTGGTTGGGGCCTGGGCCAGCAGGTGCAGGCACGAGTGCAGCACACCACGAAGGCAGCTGTAGACTAGATTCAGTCAGTTGGTGGGCCAGATCTGGCCCACAGGCCATATTCTGCCCACCCCTAGTCTAGAAAATACGCTAGTTGTGACCCAGTATGACGAGCGTCGGTGGAAATTATAACTTGACCATGGGCATCCTGATAAGGTCTGAATTTCCAAATACCATATTTACCCAATTTTGAATTTCAGATGCTTTTCCAATAAGTAGATTCTATACAAGGAAACTATAAATTTGTTATAATTTTTTATGTATATAATTAATTAGGCTGCAGGGGGATCAGGGGGTCGCTGAGGCAGAGGTTGAGGGGGCAGGCATAGGTAAAAGGAGGCAGGGGATTGAGAGGGGGAGGTCAGGTTCCCCCACCCCCATCTCCACCTCATGGTCGTCCCCATGCTCTCTCCACCTAGCGAGCCCTTCCTCCACCAAACAAGCTTGGAACAGGCAGTGGCTCAGCTTCAGCCCCAAGCCCAGGGCCAAATCTGGAGCTGAGCTGGTGCCTGCCCTGGGCTGGTATTCAAATCTAAGATGAAGCTGTCTTTTTTACTGTAGTGTCTGGGGGAAAAACTTGTCTTTGATTTGAATAAATATGGTACATTTCTCACAAGATTCATATTTCCCTCACTGCTTATCTCCAAGTATCAGAATGTATTTCTTATTTACTCCATAGTACCTTCTGCAAATGAATTGGACATGTTTTGACCAGAAGACATAGGAGTACCTAGAGACACGATCTTCTGCAGTTTTAAAGAAATTATGGATTGCAGCAAAAAAAAAAAAAAAGAATCAATAAGTGTGATTTAATTTTGAATCCTCTCCGCTTTGGAGATGTGTTAAAGTTATAAAACCTATGCTAAATGTTTATATAGCAGTCTGGGATAGCCCAATCAATATATATTAGGGTATATAACACAGACCACATAATAGCCCACTGTATCTAGTTGTGTTTAAAAAAAAAACAAAAAAAAACAACCAAACAAACAAAGCAGAGCTCATCTGTTGACTTGATCAAGTCTCACTTCCAAATTTAAGTCTTCAAAATGATTAAGGTGATGGAAGCACAGAAAGATCCTTGTGTAACTTATTTTTATTAGGAAACAAATTTTAGGCCATCTCTAGGTCTCATGAGAACAGTTGTCTTTACATAACTATATATTACCTCTACAAACAGTTTCAGGACCTTTCTTATGAACAGCAAGGTTCATTACTGAAGAGGTAATGCTGATTTAAGCCAGAGGTTATAGTCATGGTATCTTGACCAGTAACTGGAGTTGAACCATAGTCTAGGTCCAGCATTCTTGACCTTACAGACTGAAGCTGAACTGCCTCTTGCTTTCTAGGCCAACCTTCCACTGCTGCAGAGGGAGCTGCTGCATTGTGCCCGAGCTGCCAAGCAAACACCATCCCAGTACCTGGCCCAGCATGAGCACATTCTTCTCAACACAAACACCACATCCCCAGCTGACTCCTCTGAGCTGCTGATTGAGGTGAATGGAAATGGAAAAAGACACAGTCCAGACAGGTAAAGGGAACTGCATATTCTATTCAGCTCCTCACCAGTCAACCTGTTACCAGAACAACTTGCCCCAACATAGCTCTATCCAATCTAACTAAAATATTCTGTGCGTGGGAGGCTGCAGCTCATGAGATTTACTTTTCAGGTTGCTGTACTATCCAGGAGAATCTCTGGGAGAGTGACTTGTGAGCTGAAAGCTGTAGTTTCTTCTTCAGGCTGACCAGATGGCTGCTTCCTAAAGTTTTTTGTGGGGAATGGCACACACAGGGTGTGTGGTAGGGTGTTCTGGTGGATGTTCTGGAAGTCAGCAAAGCTTCTGCATCAGAAGTTGTTTTCAGTCTTTCCTAGTCCTGTTTTGAGTCCTTGCAAAGGAAGTGCTCAGAGTTTAGAGAACAGCAACTAGAAGTTCCTTTGAAATAATTCTAGAAAAACAAAAAAATTATTGGAAACCAAAATTTCTTGCTTCAAAACCCGAGATCTTTCCATTCTTGAACTTGTCGTCTTTCTGCTGACAGACACCTGCCTCTCTTGGTTTGTTTGTAGAAGAGAAGACAGTAGTTTTGAGAGAGATCCACTGCCATCTGAGCCTCCTGCCAAGAGAGTGTGCACCATTAGTCCGGCTCCTCGGCACAGTCCCGCTCTGACCCTTCCACTCATGACTTCTGCTGGGCAGTTCCACCCAACCCCACCTCCTCTTCAACACTACACCTTGGAAGACATTGCAACTTCCCATCTTTACAGAGACCCCAGCAAGATGCTTGAGCACAGGGATATGCGTGACAGACACAGCGGTCTTGGTAAAAAAACAAACAAACACATTCCCCCTTTGTTTTGTAATATCTGACACATGAGGATTCTTTTGGAGTTGTCTGTTATATTAAATGGCACACCTGGGCAGCATATAGTGGCGTATTTCTATTTCTAACCCTCCAAGGAAAAAAAGGTGTATTTTCCAGAAAGATTTTTCTGTAAGGAAATCCATCTTTGAGGGCCTATATTTTAGATGTCCCTTTCTCACAACTGTTTGAAATACAGTGTAAGTGGAGCTGTTTGCAGCCATTCTAGTTGTGCCTTTCCAGTTTGGGGACTAAGGGGAAATTTTGTTATACAAGAACCAGCTCCTCAAGATGAACAAATCCAAAATAGCAGCTAGAACTTTTATCTCCTGCACGAGAGCAAGTACAGACTCCAAATACTTTTCAGCTAGGCCAGCTCCTTTTTGCCTGGGTTTGTTTGGCAGTAAATACATTCATTTAAATTTTAATTTCTATTGTGTTCAGAAAATAAAAATATGTTGGGATAGGATTTTTAAAAGCAAAAAAGGGCTCCTGTGTCATAATGTTTTGCTACCATTTGAGATGTCTGCATGACTTCTTAGACACATTTGAAAATTCACCCTTCTGTTGTTGAAATACATTTTATTAGAAGTAGTATTTAACCCTTACACTGTGGTACTATTCAGAGGTCACAACTAGGTTGTCTCAAATGAACTAATCCTGTCTGATCATCATTCTGGCTGTAATTCATAACAGGTTTGAATGGAGGCTATCAGGATGAGCTGGTGGACCACCGGTTAACAGAGAGAGAGTGGGCTGATGAGTGGAAGCATCTCGATCATGTAAGGAATGGGAGTGGAATTCTTTTGGGTATGCAACAGCCAAGCTCCTCCCCCTCTCTCACAGTCATAGCTGCTATGTTTTATATGATTCTGGTATGAATCTGATGTTTCCTAAGTGGCCCTTTTTTATGAATGATCTGGGCAGTGGACAGTAGATATGGCAGGCATAACCTGTTACAGAAGCTGGTGCACATATCCCAGGCATTATTTACCTAGGGTCAGTAGAAAGTAAGGAGGATGTAAGTTTGCCATTCCTTACTCCCAGTTTTTTTCCTGATCTTTATGATTCCTGTAGTTCTTATTAATTCTTCTGCAGTCTTCTCTTATTTGGTGCAGACAGAGAAAGTGCCTGAAATGCCTCTCCTTATGTAGTGTTTCAGGATTGGGTTTGACTAACGCTCATCCTTCCCCTCTGCACTGAGCTGAAGCCTGTAGTGTTAGGAAGCAGTGGTCAGTGGTTAGTGCTCCTTGAGTGCTGCCCATGCCATTTAAATAGAAAATCTGAAAATTATTCTTACAAATCTAGGTCTTCTCTGTAACAGGGTTGGCCACAGGTATAAAGCCATGTGCCTTACTACATTTCTGTATGTAATGAGCATTAAGATTATCTTTTAATATACTGTGTGGCAGCAGCCAGAAATCTCAACATTGCACCTTTACTACCACCCATGGCTGCCCAGTCCAGCCAGTTTGCCCTAACATTTTACCTGCCAAGCATGGGCTAAAATACAGCTAAGACCCCAGCATTTTTCCATGCTATACAAGTGTGCATTTGGCACAAGCATCTGTTGAGAAGAGGCCTTAAGGCTAAATAGTAGAGTTTTACAGAACTATGCATAGAATGTCTCACGACTCGTACTTGTTCCATCAGAGTCTGCTCTGTCTAGGAGTCATCACTATGATATACGAATAGTACTATTCAATAATCAGTTTCACACTTGCATGGGCACTAAAATTCCTATTGTATTTAAACGGTGCCACTAATTTGTTCCTAACAAAGCTCTGATTACTTGTAATAGCTGGGTTTGGGCTAAAGTATGCAAATGGCTTTGTTTTTATGAAGGCAATTGAAAGAGCATTCTGCAAGGAAGAAAAGAGCAGGAGGTAAAATATTTTATGGACACTACAGAGCAATGTAAGAGAATTGTAACAGTTCCATCTAATTATAAAAAATGAATATTTTTAATGTAGCATTTAGCAGAAATGTGGCACGCTGCCTCCTTGGTTCTTTTTGTAAACCAAGGTCTGATAATACATGTGCCCACGTGGCACAGACTTGTGCCTGTGTGACAGCTGTCATGTTGGCTTGCATATATGGTATTGAAATTGGGATCTTGAGAACATCAGCTGCTATGGCTTGACTTAAAGCAAACACAGGGCTGTAAAAGGTTTGTGTATTGGGTGGATTAAGCACTTGAGAGTTGTCCTGTAACATATATTCACCACAGAGGAGCAAATACCCATGTGCATCAAAACATGCATGTCATCTTTGAATAGGCTAATACCTGTACTAGTGCAGTTAGTAACAAATGCACCTGGAATATTAATTGGGGCCAATGTCTGAAGGTGCTAGCATGTATAAGTGGAATACAATTTAAAAGGTGTGTAAAAATACTGGCATTTTAGTAAATTTTATGTACAAAGTATTGAGTAAATTCTTATGTAATTTTTTACAAATAAAGGCTGGGTAGAGGCCTAACTGAAAGTTTAACCCCAAATGCTGCCCTTTATGAGATTCTGCAAAAGCAATGAAAAATTGTCAAACAGAATTTCAAATATTTGCATAGAAAATACTCTATGGCATATCATCTAGGTAGTTTGGGATACAGTCATATGATAAAAGAGAGAGAAACATTTGAAGAAAGTAAATGAATCCTAAATTACAGCAAGTAGATGAATCCTGTCCATAATTAGGATATGCCAGTTTATCAGCAGCTATGCATTCCTTCTGCTAGAAAAATCCATGGGAAGCACCATGCTCTCCCTTGCTTCTGTGGTGATAGCATGTTGATCCAGAATTTGAAAAACAGCCTGCTCCCACTTAATCCTTTCAGGTATATTTTTATAAGTATTAGGACTTCATCCTTTTGCATGCTTGATGTGAAATAGGCAGAACTTGTATGGCCACAAGAAAGTTCTGCTTTGCAAAGTAGTGGCTTAATAAAAATTTGCAGGAAAAAACCAAATACCGCCCTCCCCCAGTTATTTTTAAAGTACAGCTTGGTTTACTTATATTTATATAAATAAATATCGATATGATTTATTTATATTTTATATACCCCTTTCATATATATATATAAAAATAAACTTTTTCTGCAGCAGCAGTGGATTTGAATTCAGTGGCCCAAAATATCCCTTTTAGTCATAAGTACTGTGCTCCTAGGAACCCACCATCATGGATCTGAAGATGGTACTGCATAACCTATTTGAATAATACTGTATCAAAAGTAATGAGGCAATCACAGTCAACATAAAATTATACTCTTCTTTATTTTTTTTCCCTGGAATTTTTAAATTTCTGCTTTTCTCCTCACATGCAACTGATGCCACAAGTTCTACATGAACAGAGTGGTTTAGTTGCTGGGAAAGTAAATTCTCATTTTGGCAGCTCGCACTAAGAAAATATTCTCTAATATGAAATAAAACAAATAAAGTTGTCTTTCCCCAGTTCTGAATATCCATCCTTCCATCCGCACGCAGGCATTGAATTGCATCATGGAAATGGTGGAGAAAACTAGGCGCTCCATGGCAGTTCTGCGACGTTGTCAAGAGGCTGACCGGGAGGAGCTGAACTACTGGAAAAGGCGTTATAGTGAGACTGCAGACACACGGAAGGGTGGGAGTGAACTCATCTCAAGGCAACACAGTCCTGGGAGCTCCGACTCCATCAGCAGCGGTAAGAGGCAGCGGCAAATGGTGCTGTGTTGTACTGTGACCAAAATTGTAGGGGTTGCTTGCTGGTCACTAGAGTCTATGGTTCTATAGCAACATCCTTCAGATGTGGAGAAGTGACCAAACCTAAAGTTAAAATGTAACCCTTTGGTTCATCAGATGTCTGATCTAAAAACTGTGCATAGTAACACTGAAAGCAGAGTAGACAAAAATCAATAATTAAAAAAAAGATTTTTAAATGTGAATACAGTTTTCCTTTTTAAAAATAAAACTATTTCAATTCACGTAAAAGCATGAAAAACCTTTATTCAGGTTTAAACTGACTATAACTACTGAAATACATTAATCAGTCATTTAATTTACGTTTGCCGCTAAAGTTTTTTTTTTAAGGAAGTCAGACCACAAATCTAGTGGAACTCACTGGCTAAACAAACACCTGAAACCAGAGTTTGTTGAAATGCTAAACCATCTTTGGATATTAGTAGTTGTTTCTGCAGGTGCAGGGAGTGTCTTTTTTTTCCATCTCCTGTTTATTCATCTCAGGGCTGCACCCCCTTCCCCCCCCCCTTGCCTCCTCACCCTCCACTGCTGCACCATACTGCAGACTCCCTGGTGCTGGGGGCTCTGCTGCCCTGCCACCTGTGCTGGGAACAGGAAGTGAAAGCTGAGGGAAGGGGATCCTGGAGACACAACAGCCTGGTAAGAGCTTGGGGCTGCATATTAACTGTTTGTTGACTGCATGCAGCCTGTAGCTGGTAGTTAGGCCTGACGTAGGTAGTTTAATTGAATGACCTGTTCATTCACAATTGGGAAACTAATTAGAAGATGCAAAAGCAGAAAAGCTAATTTTCCTCTTCCAATCTATGAAGAAAGAGAAGAAGTTTCAGAAAATGAAATCAACTGGTTCTAAAATTTTGAAAGTTTTGGTGCCTACAGACGATTTTTCCTTTATTAAGTAAAACAATTAGTTTGAAGTGCAAAAAAGGTTTTGATAAACTCACTGATTTCCTTCCACAAAAAGTACACTTATGATACCTTTTATTTAACTAATAAAATAATTTTGAAATGCTTATATGTGTATTTTCATTGAACTCCATTTTCCATTTAAATACAGCTTAATACAAACCATGAATGAAAAATGAATCCTCTTCCAGGAAATAAGAAATGTGGTGTTTGCCATAATAATAAATTTAAAAATTAAGAATCTGAATATATTTATGTTAAACAATATAGCCTCTTAAATACTGTGCATGTATGCTTCCTTCCACCTAGCAAAATAGTGTACCAAATTTAGTGTCCAGACTATATTTAATTGTAAATCATGTTTTAATAGCTTACAATGAATGAAACAGTCTTCTTGGAAAATTACTAACAGGTACAAAGGCAAAACAAGACTAAAAATGATTATTCAAATCTTACGGGCTGATTTTAAAACCTGATTATAAATCCATGTTTAATTTACTTGATTTAAATTTAATTAACCCTTCTTGCAAGGCAGATTCAGATGGTATCATATGCCTTGAAACGCCTGTGATAGCAAGTGAATGAAAAGAACTAAAAATAGTGTGTATACTTTGAAACTGAAAGGGATTTTCCAGACTAGACTTTGCTCTACTTTTGGAAGCGTCATATAATCTACAAGTTGATAGCTGAATATCTGCGTGATTTTTGCATTCTGGTTGCACCCCAGATAATAGTGCATGTTCTCTTCTTTAAATCTAAAATATAGGAAACTATTTTCACTTTAATTTTTTAGAAACTGACAAGGAACTTGATTTGTTTTTTGAGGCAAATTTTCATTATTCAGAAATCCTTCTACACTGAATCCATTTAAAGTAATGATGAAAGTACGGTCCAGTATTTGGGCGCACTTCATAATTCAGAAGTACTGTCTTTAACGGCATACCAAGGATTCTTTTTGAAAGTATGTTTGGTATATTAAAAAATGGGGTTATCTGTTTGTCTTCTAAATTCCAGATCAAATAGGTTCAACTTTATTTTAAAAATTTATCTTGCTTTTGTCTTCATATTTCACTGCCTTCCAGACTCACAGGGGCTCTGAAAGTCAAGCAGATTCTTTCCTTTTTTTTTCTTTGCCACTGACAATAACAGTTCTATACACAAAATTTCTGCTTTTTGACACCTGTGCAGCTTTGTTGCTTCAGTGGTGTTATACAGATTTTACTGCCAGGAGTTCAGCCTAAACAGTCCTATGGATAGAGCAAGGGGAACAAAACTAGGCAACCTCCCTCCTTTAAATTACTCTGTATGGCTAACTGCAGTATAAAAACCAGTGAGAACTTATCCTACTGCCTTTCAATACTGTTATAACTGGAGAACAGACCTGTTAAGTACAGTAGATTACATTGAACATGCTCACATTTCAGAGGAGAACAGTGGTTTAAGGCAGGTCAAGGCCATAAATATAGCTACAGTACCGAGGTATTAAAATTTACTTAAAATGAGGTATCTTGTTGATCTGTTTTCTCTTTATGGGCCAAAATGTTGAGTTCTGTAATTTCAATGCTTTTAAGCCAGAGGGTGCAGTTAGATTAGAAACCTCAATCAGTGAAATAAATTTAATTATTTAGAGTATGTCCTCCAATGATTTATAAGAATTTGAGAAAAAAAAATTCTATTAAATTGTCCCTCTTCCATTACTTTCCATTTACCTTTTGTCTATTTTTATTTCTCTGATCTCAGTTAGACGTTCATTAGAAAATTGTTTAAGTACCAGAAAAGGATTTGAATAAAAGCCAAAGTACTGGATTGCTAAATAGTTAGTGTATTTGATCACGCATTTGCATTAGGAACTATTGAGCATGGGAGTTAGGGGTACAGCTTCTAAATCAGAACTTCCTTGGCCTTAAATGCTGGGGGTTCTGAGTGAAAGAGGAACAGTGGGAAAAACCTGGATCATACCCAGTTCACTCTCCATTTCAGCATCTGCTCTCTGCCACTGTGTAACACAGGATACTAGGTAAGATGTACCTAGAGTCTGACCCACTAAACAGCTGTTCTTATGTTCTTGTTCATGACATCAAATAAAAGCATACTTTACTAGCACCTATCACTTTTGATCTCACCAGGTTTGTTCTAGTATTTAGTTTTGTACACCTATATCTTTAAAAGATCCCAAAGTATGTTTATATATCAGTTAAAGTCTTTGAATTGCCTTTGGGCTCCTTGTGAATGAAATGTGCTATATTTGATGCAAGACATTCTTAATATAGATTGATGTTCAGAATCACTGGACAGTGTAGATGTTTGGAAGATACTTTATACTAATACACTATATTTAAAAATATCAGAAGATGGAAATGGAATGTGCTGTGCAATGAATTATGCAGGACACTAATTAAAAGATGTAATTTATCATCTAGCCATTTGATGAATGTGCTTAGCTGAAGATTTTCCCTTTTGCTTGCTTTTGATTTTCCCTATTAACCCTGCCTATTGTTGCTTTAGCTAGGTGTATAGATATTGTTAACGGACTCATAGCTTTCCTGAGGGGTTTAATGTAGCTTTTAAGAAACATCATTCCCAGAGAGAAGATGCTACTGATCCTTAAATCCCTCCCTTGTTTCAACAGATTCCCTGCGGGAGTTCAGCAGCAGGTCGGGGACAGGCTATGTCACTGAAGAGATATGGAAAAAAGCTGGTAAGTATTTATGGATGGTCACTTAATAGATTTGCCTTGAGGTAAGTGAATAAACACATGACACAACAAAGAGCCCAATGAAATAGAGCAGTTGTAGAAAAATGCCATGAATGTGCAGTTCCCTTGTTGGCTGTTACATGCTAGACTGGAGTTCATAAAATCACAGAAAATTAGTCGGGTGAGACCTCAGGAGGTCATCTAGTCCAACCCCCTGCTCAAAGCAGGACCATCCCCAGCAAAAGCTTTGTCAAGCCAGGCCCTAAAAAACCCCAAGGATGGAGATTTTGCCACCTTTCTAAGTAACCTGTTACAGTGCTTCATAACCCTACTAGTGAGAGAATTTTTCCTAATATCCAACTTAAACCTCCCTTGCTGCAACTTGACCTAAGCATAAACTTGATGTGCTTGTACATTTTGGAAATATCATGACATATACCTACCCAGAAAGGGAAATGTATGGTGCCATTGCGGACACACATTTTTGCAACTTGAGAAAATGCGAGTTTGAACTTGCAGTGCCCTATACCTGAATATGCCGGTTTTGAATAATAAATGCGGGAAACTCATTGCAGCACAGCTTTATTTAAACTAGCCTCAGTTCTTCTGTTTCTTGTGCCTTCAATCTGCTTAGTTTTCTGGCATCTCTTTTTGCATTCTCTTCCTTTTTCTCCTGCCTTGGTTTACAGCAATATATTGATTCACAGCAGCTCCTCTTGATAGGCTACTAACCAAACATAGTTAACATCTGGAGGGCAGTTGCTAAGGTGCACAGAACTAGTTGGTTGGTTTAGTAAGGTTCCTAGTGATCAGACTTATAGTGCCAACTGTCTTGATTGCTAATTGCACTTCTATGGAAGCAGCCTCAGTTGACCAACCTTCCTTTTCTTAAGGTGACATTTCCAGGTCATGCTGAGGTACACTGACACAGGACACTGTTCTTATCTGCTTGTCTCCTCAGTATGTCTGATCCAAAATTAAACAATTGGGAATCGCTTCCATCCTAGAGATTTTTCCTTCCTATCTGCAGTCTCTTCCCTCCAAAGCTTGTTTCGCTTGAGAAGCTGGTTGACAAGGTTGTTGTTTCCTTCCAGAAGAAGCTGTGAATGAGGTGAAGCGCCAAGCCATGTCTGAGGTACAGAAAGCTGTTGCTGAGGCCGAGCAGAAAGCATTTGAAATGATTGCATCTGAGAGGGCTCGAATGGAGCAAACCATTGCAGATGCAAAGCGCCAGGCTACAGAGGATGCTTTCCTGGTAATAAATGAGCAGGAAGAATCTACGGAGGTGAGGAGCTAAAGTAGGCTTGGGACCACCGGGGCATGTTCTAGGGTGAGAGATTCAAAGGTACAGAAAATGGATTGGGCCCTGAAATGTCATTGGTCTCTTTAAAAACCTCATCTGGTCAACAAATAATAAACTGATCTACAGTACTGGAGTCTAACGAGTTTTGCCAGTGACTTTGACTGTAGTTTTAATCTAGAAATAATGGGCATTTTTGCACTTGGAAGGACCGCAGCACTGGGCGCTTTGAAAAGTGCCTGGCGCTGCGTCGCTTACAGTTGTATAAGCAGCAAAATGCACATCAGCGCTGAGAAAATGGCGCCGGTGCACTTTTGAACTAAAACACCTCCCAAGCGGCAGATCTCCGATGCATCACGTCATGAAAAGGTACATGTATAAATGCCCAATTACTTTTGATGTGCTCTGAAATGTGTACAGGTGGCCACCTATTTATCTGTTGAAAGACAAGATCTAAAAGGATCATCATGAATCGCAGACCTCACTATATCTACTATAGAGTTGCTTCAGATTTATGCAGGTATAAGCAAAAGGAAAATGAGGCCCATCAAATAGTTCTGCTCCACTTTTCTCAGCCTACAACTAGTCTTAAGCAACTAATTTGTTTTAGACTCTGCAGGAGTCTGTGTGAGGGAGTTATTTTGTATTTTACAAATTGGTTTGTATTTTAAATCAGTTTAAAATCCTCCAGCATTCTAATTTGATTCCTCACTTTGTTCCAAATGAATATTCAGAATGACACACCTCATTATTTAATAGTTGATCCTGGCATCCATCTGTCTGGGCAGACCACTGTGGTGACTATCATCTTGGCTACGGGACTGTGCATTGTCTTATAAAACACGTGCTATACGGCAGATAAACTGCACGCACAAAGTGTCAATAATATTATGTTTAGTCAGAGCCACAAAATCTAATGGAGCCTCAACAATCTTGAGCATCTTAGTGTGAAATTTTAATTCATGATGATCCTTCCTGGACCAAAGAAACACAAATTACACCCAGCAGAATATTTGCCTATTTTATAGAGTGCATTTTGATTCTGCCAATGAGAGAGAGAGAACTGGGAGAAATGACAAGGAAAAAAATTGTTTTAGAAATTTTTTCTAACCTCAGCCACTAAACACCTAATATTATTAACATGGAAATTTGGTTCTTATAATTTTCAAATTTTATTTTCAGTAAAACGGATAGTTTGATTAATTCCTTTTCCTAATTTTTATGTACCATGACAGTGCCACCACATTAAAAGCAGGACTAACGTAATGGTTTCACCAGTATTTCTCCACCACTAGTAACAGCTCCAGTCCTTCCCAGTATTCAGCTGATTGGTTACCTTAGATTCCTCTCTCCTCTAACCCCCTCTTCCCTCCCCAACATTAAGGCTTTTACCAAATGATGTCCACCCAGGATTTTTTCTAATGCTAATTACTTACCCCTTTATTTCCCTTCTGTGATAGGTCCCTTGAAGCATTTTGTGCACAATGATAATCAGGGAGATTTGAATGCAAATGCACCGAGGTAATGGAGGGCAGATAGTAATTTTATGTTGAAAATTGAGATCCATACAAGTCATCTTAAAGAAAAAAACAAAGCTACGTTTCAGAGATGCATGTTTTTTTAAAGAAGAATTTTGATACGTTTCTCCCTAAAGTACTGTATATCTTAATAAATGAAGTGGATTTGTGATGAGGAGAGTTTAGAAAGTGAAGGTTGAACGGCAAGTTGCAAGTACAAACTCTTTGATTGCCTGAAAGGTCAGAGAGAAAGGAACTATGCTTCTCTTACCAGTTTTGTGAAATAATAGATGCTGAATTAGATTTCTGGAACTCTTGTTCTTCCAAAGGTTTTCAAAGCATTTTGCAAGCTCTAGCATGAGCATGCTGGTGTGTCCTTTTGCTTTATTTCCTGCCCTCATTGCCCCAGTTGCTATTAGGCTTCTGGAGCATTTCCACATTTGTGTTTCTGACTCGTTTTGGTTCTGTAATTTCCACGGGAGGATCTAATGACATCCTGTCTGTGGGCTAGCAGGTTTCCTCCTTGTTCTTTGCTAGGTGCTTAGTTCATGTGAAACGATGATTGTTTGGGAGAGAATAATATGACCTTCATCTCCTTGTCCTTGGAGTGTTGTATAGTTCAAAACACTTCTTTCCTGTGATCATGCTGTAATGCAACATGGCTCTACGTGGAGAGACTGGGCTGGAAAATCGTATCTGAGTATAATGTACCAGGAGCTCTGAAGAGGCTTGTTATGATAGCTCTCTGTAGTGGCGTCAGGGATCTCACTGTTGATCTTCAGAAAACCTTCTTGGCTGCTTTTGAAAAATGCGGATGTGGCCAAACTTCACTCATTAACTCAGATTCCTCCATTGTAAATGGCTGGGTATGGCCAGACCTATTGTAAATAATGTATCACGGTTGAATGGCACTGCTTGCCCAGTTCTCAAGGAGTCTTTATTATGGAAGGAGCTATACAAATATTCAGTGCCATTAAGAAAAGAAACTAAAAGAACTTAATATAGATATATTTCCAAGCTAAACCTATGAGGGAAAGATATAGCAAACATCTGAAGTGAGCAGGTAGAAAGACTGGAAGGAGGTACTTAGGGAGGTACAGAAGTTGAAATTAAGAAAAGGATTTCTAGTTGAAATATTGAGGCATATATTTTCTGAGTGAAATGTGTTAGATTGTGCAGTGTTCTCCATGGAAGTGGTGAGAGCACCCTGAGGTGATGCATTTAAAACTAGATTGTTGAGGGTCAGGGCACGTCTACACATGCATTAATGAACTTTTAGTAAAGCACGTTAAATTTATTACCTCTAATATGAGGTATTAAATAAATGTGCAGTAGGTTGTGCTAGTGCTCAGTAGCGCAAGTGCATGCTTTTTAGGTAACAATACACAGTAGCCTATTCTACTATGCATTAGCTTATTAGCATGGTTTTATATGCACCACTTGAATGTGCAGTAGAATAGGCTACTGTTCATTAAAGCGCACATGTAGACACGCCTACAGAGACTTACCCAGGTGGATCTTTCTCTCTCTAACTTCTGTGTTGCTTCTGTGGTGTGTATTATTCATTAAGCAACATTTAAACACTAGAGTCACTCCAGTTTATTCTGTAATTCATTAAATATGGATTAAAAACAAACTGGTTTTGGCAGAAATGTTAAGCTGTGACCCAGTTTCTCAAGAGTTACTGCAGACTTCAGTGGATTTTTTTTTCACATTCTGCCTCTCCTAGAAGATAGATGAATCTCCAGTACATGCTGACTCTAGAGCAATTCCAGGACCAACTAGCTGGCTTTGGCTCTTTGCTACAAGCCAGCAAAAAATATTGCCAAGGGGTTTGAGGTGCAAATCTGCTGGGCTGCCAGAGCTCTTATTAACCTGTACCTTGCCATATTTTACAAGTGGCTGTCTTGCACAGGACATCTCAACGGGCTGCTTTCCCGGTCTCTTAGCTGCTTTTTGTTGAAGTGGCAGAAATGAGGAGGTCAATGAAATATGTTTTCTTGGGCGGGATTAGAGTGAGGCACACGGAAAGCTGCTTTTCCACAATAGACTTTGTTCTTCCAGTATGCCTTTGCTAATGCAGAAGTCCAGCTGCAGAAAGCTAATCCTCCAGCTCTGCTTCTGTGACCAGCTGCAGTCAGAGCTCCCAGTTTTGGCCTCCTGCCCTTGTGGTCATAACAAACCAGTCTCACATGGTAAGCCTACCAGCTGACATATCTTCCAGTGTCCAAAGATGTTTTGTTCATCTTCCAGATCGGACTCCCACACTCCGGGAATGGTTTCTCCTGGTGGGCAGGCTTTCAAGTGAGCCTTTTCTTTTCCAAATTAGTTTGTTCCAATCTCTTATGCAGCTAAGCAGGGGACTAGGCAAATATTGCACATACAGTGTTGCTGTAATCTCTGTGAAGAGCACTTGGATTGGGCTGATAGGGAAACATTGCTGCTTAGACCAGGAAATGGAAAGGAGCAGCAGCATATGCAGTATTTCATTTCCTTGCTTGAGGTTGCCTGCACTCAGTTGGGGCAGATGAAAGGAGCTAACACCGGGTGTATTCTAGCGGGTTATTTCAGTTTTACCACAGAAGTGCAGTCAGTGCCTGGACAAGAGCCTGTGTGAAATGGCAAGAGACGGCGGGTTTTTAATTGCTCCTTGGACAAATCAGTGCCTGAAAATTCTACACATGTCCTGTAACCCCTTGTCTTGCAGCCCTCAAAACTGTGAGCTGTATTTTACAGCACTGTAAAATACAGCTTCAGAACTGTATTTTACAGCAAAGTGTTTTCCGCCTTTCAGAGCTGTTGGAACTGCGGCCGCAAAGCCAGTGAGACCTGCAGTGGATGCAACATTGCCCGGTACTGTGGCTCTTTCTGCCAGCACAAAGACTGGGAGAGGCATCATCGAATCTGTGGACAGGGGTTACACAGCCAGGTGAAGCCACTTGCCCTGCCCACAGGGCGCTCCTCTGCAGCAGCTGCCAAAGCAGTTGATGGAGTACCAAGTCCAGCCCTGGAGAAGACCTCTGCAACCACCTCGCGATCTTCTACCCCAGCCTCTGTGACAGCAGTAGACACAAATGGACTCTAAATAACAAGGTTTTGTTTAGTACATTTTATTAATTTTCCTATTTTTAGACCTAAAACCCCCTTGCAGTTCATGACAATTTGTCAAAACTATACCAACTACTCTAGAACACCGATACTCTGGCTAATGTTTGTGGGGCTTTTCCCATGCCGTTATATTCTCTTACAGTTCATAAGGAACTCATGCCAGCCTTGCCTCAACACTGGTCTCTAACAAGTCTTGCATCCAGAGAGCACATCACTAGGACTGTAAGGACTATGGTGTCTCCCTTTTTATTTTAACTTAACTTTATGGAAAGAGTTTTTGCAGTGGCACGCGAGAGAACCAGGCTAGCCACATACAGTTAGGGATGTTCTAAATAAGGGTGATGTGTGCTGTACTCCTTTCTACAGGGCAGCTAGGTTACCTGAATGGTCACCTTGCTCAGCTGCTCCTCTCCTCCTGTTGGGTAGGCATTTAACTTATTTCAGGACACTGCATCTTATATGGTGCTGTACCAGCAAAGCCAGCAGTCCCCACCAGTTATTTGGCAGAGCTGTTTATCCTCATGGAAGATGCTCATTTGCCAGCACAGTGTAAAATGAGCAGGTTTTTTTGGTTTTAACTCTCCCCACCTTCCCCCATATCTCAGAGACTGCAAGGACTGGGTACTCCAGAAGAGAGGAGTATTCTGTTCTGCTGAAGAAAGAATCTAAAACAAGTCACAAAACCTGAGTTCATAAGTTGATTGCTTTTATATGGCCCCCTTTTTAATCCTTTCTCTAACTGGACAGTCCAGTGTTTTATCAGTTTGGGTAGGAGCCTCTACATTCATGGACTGAATTCAGACCATACACAGACATTTCATAGTTGTCTAGTGCCCCTTCAGAGTGCGTAGAGTTATTTTTGCTGTGCAGAAAGCACTTGTCCACTGCATGGAAATTGTTGGGTTTTGAGTTCTTGATTTTGTTTTTATTAAGCAAATCTTCACACTACTGCAAATCATCATTTATAGTCTATTCTTTCCAAGCATATTAGCCAAACTATTTAAAAATAAAATCAGAGCTTCATATTTCACATCAATTTTTAAAGCATCCAAGCCTAATGGAAATAGCAGAGCTCTGCTCTGTGCTCAACCTTAATTCTAGCCATGTATTTTCCTTACAGGGAAATGCAACTCTTAACACCTGGTTGCACTGCAGTCTTTAATCATCTTGTTCAGCATTTGAAGCTGTTCTAAAGATGACTTATTAGACAATTGAAATCTAGCCGGATTGTGACATTCTGTCCACGTTTTGCTAAACTGGCTATAAGTAGCTGTTTGGGTGTGAAGGGAATTTTCTAATCTAGGACATGGTATGTGTCCAACATTGACCAAACTGGTTCAGTGTGTGCAGGGCGTACAGAGTTTGCCTGGAGGATTCATCTAAAGATGCCCTACAAGAGCTTGTTAGAGGTGTAGCTAATTCAACTGGAATCGGCATGTGCTTGATTCAAGATTCACACAGATTCCTCATGCTGCATACCAGTAAGATCTAGAACATTGACTGTTGAATAGGATTTGTTACTTAGACTTTTCTTGTGTGATCTTTGGATTGGTGCCAAACAAGACAAATAGTTCCCAAATTCAATGTGATCATTTAAAAAAAAAAAAAAAAGTAGAACCTGGTAACAGAGATGTACTTAATATTCCTTTGGCTGGCAAAAAGCTAGCTCTCCACTGGCTGTGTGTCATTGGTATGTAATGGTAACAAAAGGAGGAAAGTTCAATCCAAAAATCTTCTGGTTTTGAAGAAAGACCCCAAAATATAATATTTGGAACCTGTAGTTTTGTCCTGCAAAAGATTATTACTCACCACAATTCAACCACTTGCTGCAGTTATGGATTACAGATGCATGTAACGGCTGCTCCTGAAACATGATGAATATCAACTTTGCTGCTTCTTCAAGGAAGGACAGACTGGGCTTGCTTGTAGTGGGCAGGGAGGGAAAACTGTTGTTAATGTCGTGCTAATCTGAACTTGGACTTAGTCCTTCCCTGGGTGTGTACTGTGGCTATGTTTGGGTACAAGGATGTTCAGTTTATATCAGCTAAAAAGAGTAGCTGATACCTCCTGGATAATGGAAGCCTATTTGGAAACTATTCTTATTCTGTGTAAAATTCTCATTTCTGTTCCCTTTGTTCCTAATTGCTCTGAGGGTATTTGTAGAGAAGCAGTTTATCATATGTGGAGTCCTAGTCCCCTGGTTTGGGATCAAGCCTTTTTAGAACTCAAATTTATGCAGGGTTGGGGAGGAACAGAGAAGAAACTAAAGTATCTGTTTTCATGAAAAGGTCCTTAGTCATGTACAGCTAGATTCTGCAGTCCCTAAACAATCAGTGCTCCCCCTGAAGTCACAGGGAGATTTAAAGATCTTCTTGATACAATGGGAACCCCTAAAAATATTTAGTTGCCTCAGGTACCTAAGCTACATTGCCACAATTAGTTGCAGCATCCCCTGCACTTAGCTACAGTTTTGAAATAATGTTGTTAAATTTACCTAAGGGCAACTGCTGTAAAATGAAGCCCAAAAGAGAATGAGAGAAATACAGCACTATAAGGAATTGTTTGTAAATAGACCGTCTTCCATAGTTTTCATGCAACTTCAACAGCTCTCAGTGTATTACAATAAAACTTAACCCCAGTGTAACTGAATGAATACTAACAGTCATGATTAGAATGATTTTTTTAATGGAATGATAAATGTGAAATTCTGGTACGGAAAGACATGTTGGATTGGGTTCTCTATATTTTTTTGTTCATTTAATTCTGTAATACGAATTTGTTATTTCATTCCTGTGCATAACTTATTTAATGTACTGTATAAAGGAACCCAAACTGTTACAGATGTTATTTAGTTTCTTCTACTCAAAGTAGTCAATAAAAAAGACTATATTCATCATACAGCTTCTACTTTGTTTCACTCAAAAGAAATAGGGTTTTATGATGCAAAAAGCAGTATGCCAGAATCCCTGAGGTTTCTGTAGGAATGGTGCCACAGACCCTCTTGGCTAACAAGAACAATGGGAGAGAAAAACAGTATGTCCAATTTAGGTTGAGCTGCCGATGTAGCTGTGCCAGTGTACTGACACACAGAAAGGGCCCCAAACCAATCCCACAAATGGCAAGCTCCAAACCTACTCAGGAAGACTGGCTTTTTAGTATGGTAATCAACTACAAATATTTTTCTTCAGCCCCGGATTCCAGTGATACACCCCATGTATTCCAGAATACAAAACGCATATTTATTAGCCATATTCAACCAGCTGATAGCTGAAAGAGCACTTGAATATGGAGATAAATATCACAGCCAAGATACTGGCAGGATTTGGGAATTCTGTGTTATAAACACCATTTCCAGTCACCTTAGTTTCACAATTTAATATTCCTCTCTTAAATAATTTGACATTAGCAAAGGAGAGGGGACAGCCATGGTGATTTTCTTCATCTGAAAGAAGACTAGACAGGTTGTTGGACTGATAACTGGCTACAGAGCCTTATACCTTTACCTCACCAGTTCGAGTCCTACTTGAGCTTATGCTGGCCAATAATTTAGCTATTTTATAGCCTACGTGAGCTGAATTGCTTTCAGCTTGGTCCCTAATGGTCAGGGGTCTCCATCACACAAACCACCACCTTCACTAACTGATACCTCCCCTAGAAGCTGTCTCAGCAAAGAGACCAAAAATTTGTAATGGGCTTTGGAAACCAAAGGATCTTCTTCCCCCTTGAGAGCTCCAGGAGAGAGGTGGGAGAGATCAGACAGATTCATAGATGTTAGGGTTGGAAGGGACTTTAGCAGATCATCTAGTCCAATCTCCTGCCATGGGCAGGAAAGAGCACTAGTGTTAGATGACACCAGCCAGGTGCCTCTCTAGCCTCCTCTTAAAGACCCCTAAGGTAGGGGAGAGCACCACCTCCCTTGGAAGCCCATTCCAGATTTTGGCAACCCTTACCATAAAGTTCTTCGTGATGTCTAACCTAAATCTGCTGTCCGTCAGTTTGTGGCCATTGTTCCTAGTTACTTCAAGGGGTGCCCTGGTAAACACAGCATCTCCAATTCCTTGCTGCCCCACCCTGGTGAACAAGATCACCCCTCAGCCTTCTCTTTCGGAGGCTGAAGAGATCCAGGGCCCTCAATCTCTCCTCATAGGGCTTTGCCTGCAGGCCCCTAACCATGTGAGTGGCCCTCCTCTGAACCCTCTCAAGGTTATCCACATCCCTCTTGAAGTGTGGCACCCAAAACTGGATGCAGTACTCCAACTGCGGCCTGACTAATACCGTATAAAGGGGAAGCATCATCTCCTTGGACCTGTTTGTCATGCATCTGCTAATGCATGATAAAGTGCAATTAGCTTTATTGATCACTTCATTACATTGATGACTCATGTTCATCTTGGAGTCAACAGCGACTCCAAGATCCCTTTCTGCTGCTGTGCTGCTGAGAAGGTCCTCTCCCAGCCTGTAAGTGTGCTGGTGATTCCTTCTTCCTAGGTGCAGCACCTTGTATTTGTCCTTATTGAACTGCATCCTATTCTGTTCTGCCCACTTTTCCAACCTGTCCAGATCCATCTGGATTTGTTCCCTACCCTCTGGTGTGTTAACTTTACCCCATAATTTGGTATCATCTGCGAATTTGGACAGAGTACTTTCCATGCCCTCATCCAAGTCAGTGATGGAGAGATTGAACAGCACCAACTCAAGGACCAAGACTTGTGGGACTCCACTACCCGCATCTTTCCAGGTCAATACTGACCCATTCACCACCGCTGTCTGGGTGCAACCCCTAAGACAATTTGCAACCCACCTGACTCTGTAATCATTTACATTGCAGTCGCTCAGTTTACCTATGAGAATATAATGAGATACTATATCAAAGGCCTTCTTAAAATCCAAGTAGATGACATCTACCTCCGTTCCTGCATCTAAGCATTTTGTGACCTGGTCATAAAAAGAAACAAGGTTAGTCAGGCAAGATCTACCTGCTATGAATCCATGCTGATTGCCCTTTTAAAATTGCTTTCCCCTCTGGACTCCCACAAATGTGATCCTTAATTTTTTCCAAAGGTTTTCCTGAGGGTAGAGATGAGACTAACCCATCTATAGTTACCTGGATCCTCCTTCCTCCCCTTCTTGAAAACAGGGACTACATTGGCCCTTTTCCAGTCCTCTGGGACCCGGCCTGACCACCAAGAGTGCTCAAACAGCTATAACAGTGGTTCTGCTATGACACTGGCCAGTTCCTTCAGCACCCTTGGATGAAGATCATCCAGGCCTGCTGACTTAAACACATCCAGCCCCTCCAAGTGTCTCTTCACTAAGTCAGTGCTAACAGTTGGTGGGCTGGTTTCCCCTTTATGCCTGCCTATGATCCAATTGGGAGATTTGTCCTGATCTGAGTTCAGGAATACAGGGGCAAAAACTCATTAAAGAGCTTAGCTGCTCCCCCTGCCCCCCAATTGCCCTAGTTTGTCTTGTAGGGGGTCTATGCTACCTTGCACCTCCTTTTTGCTCCCTATATTCCTGAAGAAGGACTTTTTGTTGTCTTTAATTTTTGTTGCCAGCCTAAGTTCTATTTCTGCTTTGTCCTTTCTGACTGCCTCCCTGCAAGCACAGGCCAAGTAGGTACGCTCCACTTTGGTAGCTACCCCCTGCTTCCACAGCCTATATGCTTCTTTTTTGCCACTAGGTTTTCCTGGACAGCATTATGAGAAGCCTAAATCTAGTTATTCATTCGGGTTAAAAAAGAAACTTTATCAACCCCAGTGGTCAAACTGGTACCTAGTGTATTTTCTCACATATAACATGCACCTTTTCCCCAAAATCAGCCCCCTGAAATTGGGGTGCATGTATTAACCAGGCGAACTTATTTTCTGCTCAGTGCAGAAGCACCCTGTTTTGATTGCTACTGTACCATGTAGCAGTTGTGGCATTACTATCCAGGCAACTGAGGGAGTCAGTTGACTTAATGGCTTCTTATTCTTCACTCCAGTGATATTAATGATTTTTTCTCCTTTTAATGGTCTTGATGTCCACTAATCAAAATTTCTTAGGGCTATTCTGCTGTCTGTTAGCTGTTCCTAATCTCTCTCCCATTATTTCACAGCCTTGGAGACTCTTTAGGCCGTTTCAAAATAATATCCACCCATGGAGATTCATCTTAAGCAGCAAGCTAGGGTTTCAGCTTTAGCTGAGCAGGAAAAGAGAGGGTAAGTGAACTGAAGATAAGGCTTTGTCCCCACTCTGTGCAGATGTAACTCTGGAAAATTTCTGTTTCTTCATTCTGCCTTTCAAAACCACACTGCATGTTATATTCCAGGGTGTGTTGTATGCAAGACTGGAAGCAACCTACAAGCCAAAATGGAAGCCAGTCCCCCGATGCTCCATAGCTGCCAGCCACAGCTGAGAACGAACACTATCGCTTCTCTTCTCCCCCCCCACATCCTCCCCTGGGTGAGCGGGGACTGAGGCCAGGGAACTAAATAGCGCTCAAAGATAAAGATTTCCCAATGCTGTCCCCATGATACTCTGATTCTATTTGAAACATATCTTTATTTTACCCCACAGCTCTTGCCTTTCAGTTGAATCTGTAACTTTGAGGTGCTCCGAGCTGAATTTCCTTCACTAGTAGTAAAATAGGGAGTAGCAGGATATGGGAACCTAGTTATTATTGCATGTATTTTTAAACAAAAACAGGACTCTCCTATTTCATTTATTGATAGGTGTCATAGAGTGGTCTTATGCTTATAGCACAGGAGAGGGGCTCCAAAGATCCCATAGTAGTTTGTAGCCCTGACCCTAACCAAGTTATTTAGAGCCAGATCTGATACAAGGCTAACCTGTGCCAGCCAATGCAGTACACAAGCTGGTAGAAAAGACTGAAGTGTTGCATTGCTAAATTGGTGTTGAAGTTCTAATAGTTGTGAGGCGTGTTACCATCCTGAATGCAGGCAGGAGAAACAACAGAAGCAACAAGTCTCTTGTTCCCACTCACATATGGAGATTGTGCAAGAAGATACTCTTTTTTCTCTTGAAGCGAGAGCATGGCATCAAGTGATAGATGAACTAGAAACCAGTTTTGCATGGAAAAAATGTGTAGAGTCTAAAAGATATACCTGAAAGATACTGCAATTTAATAGAAGATGAAGGTAGTGAACATCCTCTGACCCCACTAAAGCAAATGAAGCAAGCACTTCAAACCTATTGCAAGACAGCAGTTCATTTTCAGCACCAAAGAAATGCAGATGTTCCACTCCTTGTCTTCTGAACTGTGACAACTGGTAACACCATACAAGCAGTTGTAACTTTGCATATAAACGATGAGGAAGCTATTGGTCTGTAGTTCAGAGAAGAGTTTTTGGATATACAAAACTTGTACTATACTGGTCTCAAGATCAAACAGATTTGGAAGTTATAGTCATCATAAAGGGATACAGCAACTTGAATGAAGAGCAAACCCAAAAATGTGTTCCTGATAGCCTTTACACATTGATCTGTTTGATTTTTGGAAGATAACAATGACAACTTGGGTGTTGAAAGTTGTGTGCGAGATAAAAATCTAGACAGAGACATACTGAATATATGTCAGGATTTGGTTTACCTGCAATCAAGGGGCAAAAAGCTAACACCAAAATATGTTTGGTTAGACTTGCTGATAAATCAGGCAACTAGATCTAAGAAGCTGGTACAAAACTGGTACAATTAAATATAGAGGGAAGTCTGGGTGACAGCGACCATGTTCACTGTCAGACATAAGCGAGACAAATCTGATAGCAGGATTGAAGTCTCAGACTTCAAAAATGCAAATTTCAACAAGCTTAGCTCACTAGTAGGGGAAGTGCTGTAGGACCAGGGACCGAAGGCAAAAGGTGTGCATGAAAAGTGGTTGTTCCTTAAGGTC